TAATATGGTATGCAGATACCATAGCCCTAAAGGTATTTAGCAAAGGACTACCAAATATAGAATTATATATTGCAGAGTTGTTAACTATGATGAAATTCGTCATCACAGTGTACTAGTGCTCGCCCTCACCCTAGGTAACTAGTAGGAGAGTACTCCTTTCGTGATGCATTACTCATCGGAGAAACCATAAAGAGGTCCTACAGTGGGGGTGAGGGCGATGTTTATGAAACTCCTTATATCTATTATAATGTTATTGACCTAATAGTTAGCAATGATGTAGTGACAACCACTAAATCTTTATGGGGGCTCACTCTAGCTAGTTTGTCTTCTTAATTGAAGGTTATTTGGGTGATGCCTGTTTCAAAATGGCTCAACAGGTGGATGTCTAGTTCACCTCTACTCCTCATAGCCTCTTAGGATTTGTGATCGAGTATGCACATTCTCCGTCCATGATGGCAAGGATTACACCAGCTATTTGTACTGCACGGGTAGGTACTAGCTTATTTATACTACCTTCTATAGGGTCTTTCCATGGTCATCAGATTGAGTCGGCAAGCATAAATACCTTTAATTTATCGGCCTTAATCAACTATTCCACTAGGGCACGGAGATGGAGACATGGGGAGATGGCGACACTCCTCTGTGTTATGGCCATGACCTTTATGGAAGGTATAGTATCTATAGATTTTGTAGGTGTTGTCTATGGATTTCATTAATGATAGGAACCTAAAAAACTCCTTATTCTGGATGACCTTCATGAGATCATCCATCAACACACTCAATGGAGTGTATTTGGGGTAAGGTTGATGGTTAACCATCTCATGATTAGGTCGAGTGGGTTAAGGAGTCGATGTTGGTGGCCTTGTTATCCTCAAGGGTTATTATTGTGAAGGTGTCTTCTACTAATTAGGGTGTCGACAATTATGTAGCAAGTTCTATCACTTGTCCCTCTTATCCCTGAGATAGGTTCTTTTTTTTTTCTCTCTTCCTTGATGGGGCTTCTTCTTGTGGCGACCTCATGATAGTGCATAGTTGTGGAAGATTTGATTACTTGATTTATATTCTTTAGCATTCTATTGGCTAGCTCCAAAAGTTTGATAAGAGTCCTTAGATGTTGCAGGCCAAGTGAGTATTTGAAAGGACCTTACCTTAGTCCTTATCTCAAAACAACCTGGTCAACTATAGGCTCCAGGTCCTTGACGTCCAACATCTCTTTTTGTAACCTCACTATGAAGTTCCTCAATCATTCCCTAGGCCCTTGCCTCATATTCAGAAGGGCTTGTGTGCTTTTCAGGGGTCTTTGGGCATTACCAAATTACATCACAGACATCTGCTTGAACTCAAAAATTGAGGTGATCATTCCCATTCGTATGGACTTGAAGGTAGATACATGATTGGTGGGGTCAACCTTGCCTCAATACGACTCTTGGTGGGGCACTTTAGATTTGAGAGGTAGCTTAGCCTTAGTAATTTCCTTCAAAAAGGCCTAGTTTAGCTCTCATTCCTCCATCCTAGCTAGCATGGTCAGCGGGTTATACTCCCCATCACTCATCTAGGTGTGAGTGTGGTCAGCAGCGGGTGCAGAGAGAAGTGCCCTCTCCGAACGTCTGTAGCGAGCTACTGAGTCAAATTTACCTTCGAGCAAATTTTCCATTTTTACTCTTCCCATATGGTCACCTAAGACCTCCTTGATCGTATTTAGGAGCCACTCTTCCATTTCCTGTAGATCCTAGTGAGTGGTGTACTCCACATTATCCATGTTTATGGATGGCTCCTAATGAGGCTACTCGTCAAGTAGTCTTTCTTCTAGTCATTAAAATTAATTCATACTTACTGCACCTAAGAGGATGTTGAATACAAATTATTCGGTGGAAGATACCATACATTACTAGTGAATCCCCCTGGTGGGCTTAGGAACCTGAGTGGGATGAAGAATAGAGAATGCAAGATCATGGATTAATAGAGTCTTCCCTGTCCCAGTTAAAAGTACAAAAATATTCAAAGCCTAAGATCTTTAGAAAGTCAATGTTTGAGGTAAAAAAAGGATCCTTTCATTGTTAGGGTCTACAGGAAATGCTATATAAAAAAGACAAAAATAATAAGCTACACATAGATACCCGTATAATGCTACAAGATGATCTAGGACATGTAGTGCCTTTTAATTAGTTCTAGGAGGGTGAAGTCAACAATCTAGTGAATTGTGTGTGGTTGGGCGAGCTCAAGAGGAGGCAAGCAAATGTGTGGCGATTCCTTAGAGAAGCTAGACATGTAGCCATAGATTATTCTTATGGATTATACAAGCAACATAAAAGGCTCAGTATCACCTTGATGAAGGTGAGTTGAGGTGTATAAACACGGACATTGAGTTATTGAGCCTGATGTGTATTATAGCTAAATGAATAAATGGCTTTAGAGTTAGGTGCTTTCATCTAAGCAAGTTTGGTGCGCTCAAAGGGTGGGATGTTAATTGAGATGAATGATGATATGCTTTTCTGGTGAAGGGCCTTCTAGTCACCTAACATAAGGCTAGTTCCTTGGGCGACTGACATCCCTTCCTTGAATGAATTCTTATGGGAACTACGGACGAGTCCTTTAAGGTATCTGCTTCTGAAAAGGAATATCCTAGTCACGACCCGATCACTACCTATGAGGATATCTAAGAAAGCAATAAGGGATATACAAATTGTATGAGATTAATATGAAAGAACAACATGGAAAGCTTAAGTGAAGTGATTACTCTTTATTGAAAGTCATGCTATAATTCAATTAATACAAATTTGCATATGATTTATACATTTAAAAACATATACATTGTATTATTTATATATATGATAAATTATAGTGTAAAAGAATAGAGAGAATAAATTAAATGCTTTAGTAAGATTTTAATAGTATGCTAAGTAATGCAATTGTTTATTCTGGTTGTTGATCTATTGTTTTAAGAAAGGGTAAAGCATCAGTTGAGTAGGAGCAGGAAGATACAAAATGTTGAAGTTTGTTTATCTATAAGTATTGTATTTTTAATCTGATATTATAAGAACAAAATTTTGTAATATAATGAATTGCAATACAAGACTATTATTGATGAATATAAGGTAATGTTATTATAATTACTAGTTGTTATTAGCTCTATCAACAATGAAAATATCTTATTTTGAATTTCAATTCAACCAACTATATTTTGGGTCATTAAAATTCTAAATATATTTCCACAACAAAAAAAACTCTATAAAAATCCCTACTAAGGCCCACTTATAGTGTTCAGCCAAAACTTGGTTGACATCTAAACTAGTTTTATTCAAGTTGGGATTTGGTGACCTTAAACCCTTCTAAAAACTATGAGAAACTCTAAAACACATCTTAATACATCCCACTATCATTCTCCAACTACTTCCCCAAATTTTCATTAGTTTAAACCTCAATAGTAGAAGCCAAAACCCTAAGTAGTCAAATCAGCCATACTAAAGTTTTTCTGAACCATGTCACTTATAAAACCTTGAAAAAATATATATTGATGACTCTAAAAATTATAAAAACTTTTATATGAGTACTAGATAGCCTTATTTAACTTTTTCAAATGATTTGAGGGTTTTTAGATTAGTATCTTGGGAGATCTAGTCCATTGTAATCAGCTTTAGTGCTATCTAAAATTTCAATCCCAAGCCTTAAGCCAACCCTCGTTACACTCCTAACTTGTAATCCACCACCAAATTAACTGCACCAATATATTTTTCACATACATAAGGCTCTTGTGAAGCGTTACAACCTAGTTTAGTCCTCATTAAGTGACATCTCTAATAGGCCACACCACCAACACCAATTAGTAGATCTAGTTAGTATAACTAATGAGTATGAAAAGTATGTAGAAAGCTATATAACATTAGGAATATTATAGTAACTAAGGATCTGAGGAAAAGAAGAAATCTAAAAGATCCTTGAGTATTCCTATTTACCCTTATTTCTAGGGTTAAGAGAGTGAAGGACACCTAAAAAGGTGAAAATAATGCATAACTTGATTGTTACAGATTGATTTTGACATTTTGATAAATTCTATAAGATATAGAAAGATACCTACTTCTAACATGACGTCCCCCCTTAGAGGCAAGTGCCTTAGGCAAATTTTTCAGGGCAAGCTCATGAGGAAGTATTCAAGATCTTAGGTTGTCTACTTCCTGCAACTAAGGATTCGTTTAAGATTTCTTAGTGATTTATGAAGCAGCATTTTAGTTCAAAAATTTTCAATTAAAAAAAATTATACTAAAAAAATACTTCATAAAGCAATAAGAAAGCTGCTCAAATGAAGCCTAGAATCAACTCCTCAAGTATGAATGTTGAGTTCTTGGTTGTAACCTCAAGAGAAGTTCATCTAATAAAATAGTATTCATGTGTTCTAGAAGTATGTGCTTCTTGTAGCATGATCAAGGGCATTAGCAATGATGGGTGTCCTTGGTCGTTGAGAGCTATTGGGGATGAACCGGATTAATTGACTACAGCAATCTTGAGAACGTGCATTGGTTTGGACAAGCCCCTTAGGGAAGCTCATCGGGAGTGACCATCTCCTTGTTATTTTCTCATGGGATGATTCCACATGCTATTATCTCACCGAAAAGAGAGGCAATTGGACCACGAGCTTACTCCAACCACAGTTCTTATAGGGCCACTCTCCATGGCAACGAAGAATTATTCTGTGCGGAGTGCGATGGGCGCCCGGAGACCAATAAAAATGTGCCACGTAACCTTATTGGTGGGTACCCAGCTCGGTACCAGCACTCGGTACCGCTGGGTACCCAGTGCTTAACCGGACGGTTCTCCCGTCCCGTCTCTGTACAGAATAAAAGCTCCCATGGCAACTGTCATCTTAGCTAGGGGCCTTTTTGTACTGTGAAAACCTCCATTGAAGTTTTGAAAACTACGAACAAGCAGAAAGACCATTAGAACGATACTGTGTTGTTTTTTCCATGTTGCCTGTATCCCAACAAACTCCACTTTAATGCTAAAAGAATCACAAAATTCACTTATATTTTTTCACTCATAGAAAAATACAGCCCATTAGATCGATACGGTGTTAGTTTTTACAACATATTCCTATGAGCAAGTGGGTGAAAGCTTATATTTATTGCAAAGTTTAAAGTCCCGACAGGCGGCCAGAAGAATTTCCTCTCCATCATTTATAAATAAACAACATTTTTCCTTCAATAAATAAAATTGAATTATCTTCTCTTACTCATCAAAGGGGAATAGCAGAACAGCGGGACCAAACATAACGGCTACCTTTGCTTCAGCAGCAACGTTTCTTCTTCTGCAGGAACAATATAGGTCAACAATCAAGCGATGAAGAAAATGGTAAAATACATACATATGGCCTCTACTAACCCGAAATTTAGCTTGTTCCCGGCGGTCAATATAGGCCAACAGTTCTTCTTGCCTCATTAGAGATTCATATAAAGCCTATCCAATCAAATTAGATCATAGTAGAATATAAAAAACAAAAAAGATAGTAAAACTGAGCTGTTATAATTCAGGGAAATTCATGAAATTATTCACAGAAGTTAGACCAATGGATGAATGGCATAATGCTCATATAAAAATATATAATTTCCATGAAGTACTTGGATTTGCTAAGCTAAAATACCTTTTTGGTAGCAATAAGTTCAGCTTCTAATGCGTCCACACGGCGAACAGAAGCACTGAGCAACTCTTCCTTCTCACAAGGCATTTCTAATGGTTTAGATTGGAGGATGTCAAAATTTTTTTCCAGCTCACTGAGCCTTTTTAGAACGGATGAAAGGAGGTTGGCCTCTGTAAAACCATGGGTAGATGATGGCTGAAACTCCTTAGGTGCCGAGTTTTTAGCTAATGCTGCATCACGCCAAATAGATTCACAGTTTCCTTGTTGAAGCTTCTTTTTGGCAAAACCGGTGACCGTATGAAGCAGTGTAAGTAGAGCCATGGCAAAGGACATAATAAATGCAAGTATTTGTTTGGGTGTTCCATCCGTAGACTTGTGAGTCTCTGCCAAACCTGCTTCACGGAAATTGATTTCAGTGCTTGTGAACAGAAGAAATTTGGAGAATAAATCGATGGATGCAGCATTTTGACGGAGAGAGAACTTTGTATCTGAAGCCTAAAAATTATCAAAACTGAAGTCTTTAAACCAGACCGAAGACCAAATTATTCAAAGGTTAGGAGATTAAGATGGAGCCTTAAAGTTAAGGTTCATTTTGGGTAGACTGTTGGAAAAGTTGTTGGATAATTATAGGGAAAGAAGATTTTTTAAAAGCTAGTGTTAGTATTCTAACTTTATTTCCATTTGAAAAAAATGGGATGACGACTTTCTTGCAACTGCCATATACTAGTAGATTTGATTATAAAAAATTATTTCTCGCCACTATTTTTAAAGAAGTTACAAAAAGGTGTAGCCTGATAAGCTTCCTGGCGTCCAAGAAGGAAGAGAAAACAGAAATTTCACTCCATAAGCCTTGTATTACAATATGTGGAGTATTTATACAAATTAGATAGACCAAATTCACAATAAAGAATCGATCCATCTAAAACAAACTTAAAATAGGATAAAAAGGAATAAACTAGTGCTTGCTATATATGCATAGACCAATTGGACTAAACCATTTGTTTGACATTTGTTTGAACAAAGATGTTTTGTGATCCTTTGCGTTGTAGCGTCCATGTGGAATGTTTTTAGTTCCTTCTTCTTTAGTAGACTTTTATGCTTATAAGTTGGTCTGCCATGTTTTTAGACCACGCATCACATTTTGATTGTACAATCTTAGGATCCAATAAAATGTGGTGATATCTAACACTTCCATTGACATAAAAAATAACTTTTTTATAAAACTTTCACATGTGGCATCATCCGGTAGATTTTAATTTTCATTTCAATTATAGCTAAAGGTGAGGCTGACTGCCAAGTTATATAATATGTGAGGCTAAGAAAACATAAGGTACAAGGAGGGGTTGATTGTTATAACTGTAATTGGGTAATTGTGAATTGTTTAATGAAGGAGTTCCTTTAAATGGTTTCAAAAAGAAAATAAGAAAAACATGACGAATATTACTTTTGGAAGGAAGGGTTGGCAATAAACCATTTCGCTAATAACATTTTCAATTAGGAAAGTTCTAAAATAATGTTTAGCTAATTTAGAATGTGTGCGACTAATGATAGAATTTTGTCATGGTTGTAGCTTTGACCATGACTACAACACCTACTAATAAGTGCAAATCTTTTTATGGCATTTTGTCATTATTATCATGCAATATTGTGCTTATTGTATATTTTGTCGGAGGTATTGGAGAAGTGTGTCACAATTTGTTAAAAAAAGTATCGATGACATAATTCATCTAACAAAAAAAAGTCAACCATAATCTAGGAGTAGAGGAGGTATATGGATGAAGATATTGAGGTATATGGATGAAGATATTGTTCTAAATAGTGATTTAGAACCTTTTTTTGACCAACTGTTTGAGAATGAGAGAAAATACTATAATGGAGTGTGGTAGTACTTAAAGTAAAAATGATGACACCAAAAAAAAACTTAAAAAAATGCTATCCCTACCATACATGATAGTTTTTAGAAAACCATATAATCTGACAATCATATTTACAAAACGATCAACAACTTTAGTAGCTAAATATGTTGTAAGTAAATGACAAAATTGGCATATTTTGAATAAGTGATCAATGACTAACAAGATGGCAATGTAGCCTTTAGAATTAGGTAGACCAATAATGGAGACTGTAAACAAATCTTCTCAACCTTACAAAGGTACTGGTAGAGGAGAAAGGAGTCTAGTAGGAGGGGTAGAGGCTTTGATTTTTTTGACAAGATAGATAGATGCTAACAAAGTCAGCAACATTTTGATGAATACCATAGAACAACAACAACATCAACAAGCCTTTATCCCACTACGTGGGGCAGGTTACATAAATCCTTTTTCTCCATTGTGTCTGGTTTAGAGCCAAATTCTCATTTAGACTAATAAAGAAAGGTCATTTCTAATATTTTCTTTCCAAGTCTTTTTAGGTCTATATCTACCTTTCTTAACATAGGTTACATATAATACATCTACTCTCCTAACCGGGTCATCAAAAGGCCGTCATTTTATGTGACTAAACCATCTAAGATGACTCTCTCTAATCTTATCTGCCACTGGAACTACTCCAACCTTTTCACGTATACGCTCATTTTGCATGTTGTCTCTAAGAGTAAAGCCACTCATCCATCTGAGCATCTGTTAGGCCAGTTCATCCTGAATCGGCCCAGCCGGCCCAGAGGCCGGATATTGTCTATAGGAGGCAGACAAGTGCCGCCTCCCATTAATGTTGCCGCCTTAAGCAGTAGGCCCCACTAGGAGCAAAGCAAGGAAAGAGAGAAGGGGGGCTAGGGAGAGTGGGAAAGAATTTGAATTAGGGAATCGATGTATTAATAGTATGAGTTGTTTTAGGGTTAGGGTTATGCATGCTTTGTTTTGTTTTTCTCTATGAGTTCTTTGGCATCTTGACTCTAGATTTCTTCGTCTAGAGATTGGGAGAGAACGATTCTCCTCTCGAATTGAGGGTCACTTGTATCTTTCTTTCGTGTTTGTTTGGCTTTTGATTTCCTTGTTGCAATACAACATTTTGGGGCTGATTTCTCCAAGATTTTTGCATTATTCTCACTGCTTTTCACCAATCGGAGATAGGTTTGCTTACGAACTTAAGTATTACCCTTAGAGTTATTTGCGAACTAAAGTATTTCCTATGAAATTGATATCAGAGAAAGTCATGGGACCGTTAGTGGGCTGATTTTGGCAATTTCCTGTGGCTGATTTTGGGCCGGCAAAGGAGAAAGTTGCTGTTTTTTCTAATCCAAATCCAGAATTTTTGGATCTACAAAAATCCGGATCGAGATGGTGGCCAAGAAAATAGATGCGCTAGAAGAAAGTCTTGAAGGGGAGATGAATCAAATCAAGACAACAGGAGGAAAGGATTTCCTCTATGAAAAGATAAGTAGCCGATCTCCGGGACATGAAGAAGAAAATATTAGAAATCCACAACCAAACAGCAACTTCCATAGAAAAAGGGGTAGAAGGGAAAAGCACGAATTCTGAAATCCGTAGGGAGAAAGATGAGGTGAAAATCGTGGAAGGAGAAAGAGAAGACCTCAACTGGAGCCAATTGTGGGCTCCGAAAATTCGGCCCCGGCCTCCGTCCGACCGTTTGTTTTTTCTTTTCGGGGAGGGTGGGTTTAAAGAATAAGTTTCGGGGTAAATTTTAGAAGGCAAATGAGTTTGTAGATAAGACACTACCCAGAGATTTCTCCTTCATTTGGTGAGGACTTTATGATCTGAGTTCTAGTTTTTATAGGCGAAAGCCCCTATAGTTAATTACCCCTCCCGATAACGAGAGAGAACTTTCGATTAAGGCTAGTCATCAATCAGATACATAGAGAATACGTGTTATCTGGGATATAGTAGCAGCATTGGGCTTGGATGACTGAGAGGGTTGATGTTTAAAATTTGAAATTTCACCATCTTGCACTTAAAGCGGATGGTGGGGGGAATGGATGATGGACCTTATCAAGATCTCATGGTTATGTCGTCTCGGGCCATCGTGGTCCCTAGTCTACTTAGTCAGAGGAGGTAGTCGACCCAACTCGATAGAAGGATCCTTGTCGGCAACCATGGGTTGCTTCGTCAAAGGTAGGGGTGTCAATTCGGGTCGACGGGTCGGGTTCGGGTCGGACCCGAGTTGACCCGGATCTAAACGGGTCAACCCGAACCCGACCCGATTTTGCAAACGGGTCGGACATTTCAACCCGGACCCGACCCGCGCAGGTTGCTGGGTTGACCCGACCAGACCCACACGGTAGAAGGCGGAGTCCCGAGCACACCGCAGCGTGACTACGTGAGTGCGAACAGAGTTCGCAGACCGCGCGACCACGCGAGTGCGGACGGAGTCCGCGCCTCCTGGGGGACCGCGCGTGCGGACGGAGTCTGCGAGAGGAGGGACCACGCGACATAGCGACGGCGCGACCGCGCGAGTTCAGGGTGCGGACTGACCGGCTGACCGGCTGAGTCGTGTGCACTGCGCGACAATGGGCGGACTGGCGGAGTTCGCACGCGAGTGCGGGACCGCATCACCTCGCGAGCGTAGCAGCTGGAGTCTGGCGATGTCGCGAGTGCAGGCGGAAACCGGGTTGGAGTAGACTTTCGGGTCAATGTCGGGTTGATTTCAAGTTCTTGGATCAACCCGAACCTGACCCATTGTTGAAACGAGTCAAAAATTTGAACCCGAACCCGACCTGTTTGTTAAATGGGTCAACCTGAACCCGAATTTTTCTGGGTCGGGTAAAAAATTGACACCCCTAGTCCAAGGGGACCTTGTAGACCTGGGGTGAATGCTTGTCTAGGCGGACAAATTTGAATCCGCCTTAGCTAACAAAGGACTTTATGCCCTATCGATCACATCCTATTTATTCATATCTCAAGGATTTGATGCCACTAAGGAGCGTATTGGCTTTGGCCATAATCGGTATTTCGTGATGCCATTTGAATTCATAACCACTCGGTTCAAAGGGCCCCGGATCATAACCGTTTATCCTACGGTGCCATTTGGTGAGCTGAAGTAGTTTTCTAATTTGTCCACCTCGACAAACTGTTGCGGATGGTGGATTAATTTTGCTTTAAGTGGTTGGATGGTTGATTTTCAAATTTTAAATATCTTGGGCTTTGGAATTTTCAGGATTTTGGATTTTGGAGTAGTTGGGTGGCGTTGGAAAATGTTTGAATCACCCCTCCGGTTGAAATTTGCATTCAACACGGTCATCACAGGGGTGTAAGATGTCATTTGAAAATATTTATATTTTGAACCTTGCCAACTCTGCCGAGTTGTCAACAGAGGATCAGATTTTATAGGTTTTATACCCTTGTGAGTGAATTATCTTAATTATTGGCCTTAATGACCTAATATGAATGTATAAAATAAATATCACAGTCTACCTTGCGACCGCATATTTATTTGATGGTCCGAACCATATCAACTCCTATTTACTCACATAAAAGGATTGGGCTCGAACTAGAATTCACTTATTAACCGGTGTAGCATCCCTAGACGTCATGTGTGTACCATTAACATGCTCGTCGGGGCCCATGCGGGTGTTTTGGAGCATTTAATAATTAAACCCTATCGAATCCTATTTATTCGTATAGGAGGATCGGGTTTCACAGGCTTTATGCCTTTGTTAGTGTATTATCTTGATTGTAGACACTGAATGTCTAATATGAATATATCAAAACAAATATACCGGTTGCTGCAACCGCATATTTGTTTGATGATTCGGACCCTGTCGACCCGCGCAGCATCTCTAGACATCACATGTGTAGCAATAACATGCTCGTCAGGGCCCATGTGCGTGTTTCATACATTTACCCCTTTTTGTGTACCTATGTGTATACATATTGTAGTGCATGTGGGGGGGGGGCATTTCAGCCATTTGATGGGTCTTTTATGCTGGTTCATAGAAGTTCATTTTATCACAAACCTTTCAACAATTGCTTGTGTACAGTATACTGGATGCACAACCACTGTTCATTAAAAAACTTGCAAGCCTCAATAATCTTGTCCAACTCAATGTTCGGAATTTGGTTGAACTGAGATTCACTACTATCGTGATAATTGAAGATACTTTGAGCCTAAATTTGTTTTAATTATGAATCAGTTTGTGAGTGGTTCCATTTCCTTGATTACCCACTTAGTTTTGTTATAGTTTAGTCTTTTCCAAGTTGCTTCCGACATTAAGGATTCGTTTGGGATGACTTTCTTATTACTTCTTAAAGCAGCTTTCAAGCACACAAATTGTGCTAGAACCCAAGGAGATGGAGGGATATCTTGATGAGGTCTGCAGAGGGCTTGGCTCTCTGTCAAGCTGTGTATAACGTTGTTGAAATTTGCAATAGGCTTTTCAATAAACCTTTTACACTGATGATTTCCTCATCTAAATTTCAGATTACAACAAAAGGTTCCAACTTGATGCCACATCTGGGAGCCTAATGACAGAACAACAGCTCTTCTCAAGCAGGTACTGATTAGAGTAGTTTTCTCAGAGATTCAGGCTTCGTTTGGGATGGCTTCTTGTTGCTTCATAAAATATCCGAACTTGGAATTTTCTGAGTCAAGTTTCAAGTCTGGTTGACACCCCTAGCTAATTCAATTGTAACCAAGAGTGAAGTCAGTCTTGCAAGTAAAAGATCAAGTCATAATTCTTGTTTAAGTTTGAAGATAAAATAACTAACGAGGATGAATTCTGATAAATGAGGGACTTTAAAAGCAAGGGTTTTGAAAAAAGTTTAGTATTCAAGGACATAATTTTGTTGAGTTAGTTTTGAAAGATTGCCATGTAAAGCTTCATATATAGAAATACCAAAATGTTGCTGTAAATATAACATAAAGTCAGGCCAAAAAAGTAATTGACCTTTCATTCTTAACCATTGGTCCAAAGTAGTCGCTAGACCTTTAAGGTGAAGTGATACAACACAAACACAATGATATTTGGGCGTACTATAAAAATCGAAGTATTCAAGTACTTTAAAGATCCAAGTTTTGTTGCCAGATCCATTAAAACAGCAAAGTTCAATTTTTCTTGATTTAGGAAAAGAAAAATTCACAGGGGATGGTGAAGTTTGTTGAGAAGGAATTAGGATAACATAACCGAGAATGTTGGCGGAAGAAGAAGGTTATTGATGGGAACAAGAATGTGTGCAGTCTATGCACAATCTGCCAAGACGCTTGTCAATGGAGTCCATAAAAGCCTAGAATTGTTGTAAGGATGTGCCAGTGGAAGCATACAAAACAAATCTATGTTCTTTATGTCGATTTGATATTTGTGGCTGACGGAGTTTGGACAACATGAGGTTCTTGATAACAAGAAGTAGTACCTATCAACAAGGAGAAAAAAAAACAAGCAGATGTATTTGGAAATCTGAAAACAACAAGAAAATCAAAAGAATGGAGAACCTGATGCATTGTTGAAAAAGGTGGATCGAAACGTGCAGATGGAGCGTGTAAAACAGAAGCTAGTTGATGGTGAACCTAAATGGCTGACTTGAAAAATAATTGGTTGGAAATAGCTGGCAGCCTTAGAGGCAGAAAGGGCTGTTTGGTGGTCTGACTGGCCTGGAAAATTGCTGTTCTTCTGTATGGATCAGCAGATCTTCAAACTGCAGATCTTGAAAAAAGAAAAATGCAGCAAATTTCTGGAGAGGATGTACAGACTGCATAGCCAGCTGGTCAGATCTTGAAAGAAGAACAATGGCCGCCAATTTCTGGAGAGAATGTGTAGAATGCAGGAAATCCATCTGGCAGGAAGCGAACTACAGTTCAACTAGAGCAAATTCTGTGCCTGGAATGCTGCCTGTGGTTAGAGGGAAAAAATTACAGGTCGGGTGGAGCAACAACAGATCTTACGGTTGCTACTTGTGGCTAGTGAGGAAAAACATACATGGAAGAACTTGTGGTGGCTTGAGATTAGTGCAATGAGAGCACCATTTGATAAGCTTCTTGGCATCCAAAAAGGCAGGGCATTTTTTGAGTAGGTGTAGACTACAAAAGAGAAAGAGGAGGGAAAGAGAAACTAGAAATTTTTATTCCATAAGCCTTTCATTACAATATAGGGGTATTTATATAATTAGGTAGACTAATTTTATAATAAAAAATCCATCTATCTAAACTAAACTTAAAATAGAATAAAAAGGAATAAACTAGTGCTTGCTATATATGTATAGACCAATTGGGCACTATTTGTTTGATATTTATTTGGCCAAAGATGTATTCTTATTTTTTGTGTGTGGGTTATAGTGTCCATGTGGAATGTTTTTAGTTCTTTCTTCTTCTTTAGTAGACTTTTATACTTGTAAGTTAGTCTATCCTGTTTGTAGACCATACTTCATACTGTGATTGTATGATCTTAGGATCCAATAAAACGTATTGATGTCTAACATAGCCATAGAACTGTGGTTGCTATGTGGAGAGCAGAACTATGAGAAAACTACCCACAACAAACTCTTACGGTCTATTTAGGCTGACTTAACTGTTTGCAAAAATAATTATAAAGTTGTTGTTTGTAAAAATATTTTAAAAATTATTGCAAATATTATAAATTATTTATCTTTGGAAAAATTGGATGGCAGCTTTCTAAAAGCTGCCACATTCTAGAATATCTGCATGTAAAAAGCAACTTCTCAGCATAAATATTTTTGATAAATGATAACCAAGAAGTTTTAGCCAAATAAAGCTATGGTCTTTCAGGAAGAAAAATCCGGTAGAAAGCCGTCCAAACAAACGCTTAGTTTCAGGAGTAATGTTCATCTTTGCATCGAAAAAAGTTGTTATGTTATACTGGAGTATAGTCTATTTGTAGATATCCCATGTTGTAACGTCACGTTTCCTATCTGTTCAGATTATTCAGAAGTCAGGTCTATGCCAATCGGTTTTTAAATCATCTTCCAAATCTGTCGAATCTTCCCCTAGCTACATACTTCAAGAACTTAGCGTAATTACTTTCTGGTTAAAACTTCAAACTGCTACGAGTTTATGGCTTTGAAAAGCTTTAGCGGAATAAGAAAAATTAAAATCTGCCATGGAAACAATTATACTAATTTCACGTGAAGGTTACTGAGACAGTAATAAAGTAATCCTATTCTTCCTTATCAAAATTTCCACATTTATATAAGGGCAGTACCAGATTACTTCCATAACTAACAAACTAAACCACAAACCTTTGAGTGCAGATGACCTTTTAGAAGCCTCTTTTGTCCATCCTACATCCATAGCCTTGTCAATTATTGGACTATGCTCATCAGGTTCTGAGGATCTTAAAGGGTGGGTGCCCTTCCCTATCATTTTTGGCTGGAAAAAAAAGACAAAAGAAAACTAACTAGTAAGTTCTACAAACTTTAGTGGTAAATACATCAAAGAAATTGTCAGTGATTTCGTCGTCCTAACTGCTGCATGATTCTCTATATGGTAAGATCGCAGTTGTCTATTTAACGCATGGGTGGAGCATGCATTGCATTTAAAGGTGCCACTTACAGGTTAATAAACACTCACATTTAAGAACCCAAATAAGAAGTCATTGAAAGAGCGATAGAGGTGAGTGGAGCTTGCTGTGAACTTTATTAATAACATAGATAATGCTGTGTACAAGACGATGACCTATAACTATGTTTAGGGCCATTAAACATATCACAATTCCTTCAATGCATGGGCTAGCTCCTTATCAAGCATAATAGGTCATCTTCAATAAAAAGTGACCAAACAACGTAGTTTAGTATGGAGTAGCCAAAGGGCTACTCGAAAAAAAAAAAAAAACGTAGTTTTGTATCTGCATCTAACTTGCAACAATGAGAACAAACTATAAACGACCATAATGAATCAGCCAGCAAAATCGAGGAAAAAATTATTAAAATGCATGAGATTCTAGAAAAAAGACACGACGGTAGACAAGAAAAATATTATAAAGAAATTTAAGTCAATTTTCACATAATATTTAATCCTTGCAAGTCCAGAAACTAGCTAGTCACATTGGATACTGCAATCCTACAAACAATCATAATTATGGGTCTGCTATTGTTGTGCGTTTTGGGATAAAGTAAAAGCAGGATAATGGGTTGGTTTAAAATCAATCTTACCGGTTCTCGCACAGGGCTTAAAAAGTTGTATGAGACGGAAGGCTCTATTGGTTTAAGGGATGCAATATTCTCTTTTTCTGATCCAGATTCAGTAGTGGAATTATCACTTCCCTTCACCTGGCCAAGCAAGAGGAAGAGTTTTAATTTCTAAAGAATAAAGAATCATCAAGGCTTAAATAGCGAATGAAGCAAAAAGGCCTTACTATTGGATATTTTGGTTTAGCATAAGCAATTAGCCTTCCCTCTCCACTAGAAACTGTTACTATTTGCCGGGCATATTGGGCCTCTCCACTAAGAACCATCTGCATGTCCAAAAGAATTATTTTAAAAATTAACTGCAATGACTAACATTATGGCAAAGAAAAAAAATACAAAGAATTAGCCAATACAGACCTTCAAAATAATAGGGTCTTTCCATGGCCCTTTTTCAGCCTTCAGGCATCCTCCCACATCACCGCAGGTACAAGTACCGCCAAAAAATTCTGGCAACTCACTGAAGGAAATTAAATATTAAAAAAACTAAATTTAAGTTTGAATTAATAAGAATCATGTTATTAGCAAGAAAATCTAGTTTAGAATGGATACCGAGTATCAATAATTTCAAGAAGCTTACTCTGATACTTGGTACCAATAACCTGAGGAATTTAAATAAACAGTAGTCATCATATTATTCTAAAGATCACTGGAAAAAGAGAAACCAGTCAAAGGTGAGGAAAAAACATAAAAAACGTAACTCACGTTTATCTTTGAAGTTGTCCTTGGGTCGAGGAATGATTTTACAGTGTTCCATAGCAACCTAAAACTGGGGCCAGCATTGATAATATACATGCGGTATAATGTCTGCATGAACATTAAAGGCATATGTGAGAGATCTCCTGAAATATATGTTATGGCATGTGCCTGAATTGAGGTTAAAGGAAGAACTATTAAGAACGGTAACTAGATAGCATACCTCAGGGTAATTATCATTGTCAATTTTTTGTAACCTTTGAATCAGTTCCCTTGCAGTCTTGCTGAAGTTTTTCAAACTCTATTAGCAGAAAGAAAAGTCAAAATGAGAGGCAGGAAACAACATTTTCGACTGCAGAAACTACAGGAAAAAGAAGTACGTACCACGCCTTGCACATCCAAAATAGTTGTAGTGGAGTCAATATGCCGTTTAGCAGCAACTGAACAAGCTGGAAATTTGATCAAAAAGCTCCTCTCAAACTCCTTCACATGATATCGCACATATCGGTCAATAGTTGTAACATGCATAAGTTTGTTCGGTTCAACTTTTCCCAATTGTTCAATGTAAACTGGCCTCCCCTCCTTGTCAACGCCATGATAACCATGCGGATAGTACTTCAAAACTTCAGGTAGTTCTTCATACTGAAAATCCTGGCAGCAAAAATGATAACGTTAAACATGTATAAACTCCCAAAAAATGTAAAGAATTATCACTCTGATGGTATAAATCACAAGTACATGGAAAGAAAGAAATAAAAGCTCAATAGGTTCCTTCTAGAGAAATCTCTTACATTAGCAGCTTTATTTAATGGAACGTGATGCATGCAAGCCAAAAAGACAACAAGATTCCTTAAAAATTGAATAACAAGCAGCACATTAAGCAAAAAAAAATGTAACATGAAAACTTGAGCAAAGAAAAATAAAAGATATAGAAACGACACACTGCAACTAAATGCCGGGGCATATGTCACGGCAACTTTATACCGGAGAAAAATTTATGCGGAGCTCTATTTTTTAATCAGAAAATGTTTCAATGGAGAAGATATTGCCAAGAAAAATAGCATTTGCTTGATTATAGTTTGAATCAAAGAATAATTGCTAAGCATTAGAAAGAAACTTACCGCAGTGGAAAGAATGTAACATACATAATGCAACATATGAAAACGCATTATATGAATGCAATAAAAGCCAAATTTTATTGAACTTCTTAGTAATCATAAATTTGAGCACAAAAAGGTTGAATCATTTTATAGCAAAAGAAATGTGATAATTATAGCAATCATAAATTTGAGCACAAAATTGTTAAATCATTTTATAGCAAAAGAAATGTGATAATTCCCCAAAGCAAATAAAAGTATAAAATTAATGCTAGTCACATTCACACTGTATGCTCATATATGCTAGTATAGGTAACTCGTAGGTATCTATCAAGTTTTCATCAAAGAACTCGATCAAAATGGTCATGTGGTAAAAGAGGCACTCACTCGAAAGGAGCATAACCTCACAAAGCAACAACTGACACCAGCTAATGGTTAAACAACTACTCTCCCCTGCAGAGATTGCAACATGCATACCATTTAGCTAGCCCGTGTTGTTACTTGATAATTATGAGTTAGATTTTTAGACCTAAGCTTATGTCCTAATGGCTAATCAAGAGGGGGGGTGAATTGGTAATTTAAAATTTTTCCCTCTTAAACCGTTTTAAGAAAATTTTGTATAATTTTTTTAAAAAAACAATTTTTCAACCTCAAATAAAACAGAAAAATAAAAAGCAGCGGAAAATAAAAGACACAAGATTTATAGTGGTTCGGTCAAACACGACCTACATCCACTCTTCAAGTCTCCCACTTTAGGTATTGCACTATTACCACTAGTGTCTCTCCTTTTGCCCCCACAGCAAGGCGGAGAAGCCTTCACAAAAACTCTCTTCCACCGTTACCCGGTGCGGCAGAGAACCGTCATCCTTTTACACCCTCTAAGTGTAGGCAGAGAACCTCCCGCTGTTCACACTCTCCAAGTGTAGGAAGATAACTTTCCACTATTCACACTCTCCAAGTGTAGACAGAGAACCTTCTGTTATTCACACTCTCCAAGTATCAGCAGATAATCGTATATTCTTGAAGGATCTTCTCAAAAGAAATCTAGAAGGATAAGAGAGAATAGTGAAGTAATCACAAATTACGAACTGAGATCCTTACCTTTGAGTAACTTAAGTGAACCCTTCACACTCCAGTAGTAAGAAATCTCTTTCAAACACTCTCTCTCTATGCTTTAATCTCCCTTTTGTATGCACGAAGACCAAAAGACAAAAAGATTGCAAGACAGTCTTAAGTGGACCTTTTATAAGAAAGACACGAAACATCCATCCAAAAACTGCAATTTTTCAAATTTGTATGCTAATGATCGTCCCGTACGATTCAATTTCGTACATACGAAAAGTGTAAAACTGTTGCGTATGAACTCAATGTACATTGGTATGAACTGCCTTCGTTCCCGATCATCGTCCCGTACGAACATGGTTCGTCCGGTACAAACAGTTATTCCCAAGGCTCGTTGGAACGAAAATGCATGACGAACCACAAGTTCAAAGAACAGAGAACATCGTCCTGAGACGAAATTATAAAATCGTCTGGACAAACAGAGAACATCGTCATGAGACGAAGGGGTAAAAATCGTTCAAAGCACGAGTCCAGAGGACATCATCTTGGGACGAATGGGTAAAATCGTCTGGACATCCAAAGGACATCGTTCTGGGACGAATGGGTAAAATCGTCTAGACAAATAGTTCGAAGCATGAGTTCAGAGGACATCGTCCTGGGACGAAAGGGTAAAATCGTCTGGACAAATATTTAAAGCACGAGTCCAGAGGGCATCGTCCTGGGACGAAGAGGTTAAAATTATTTAGACGATCAGGACTTAGAAAAAATTTCACCTGCTCTGTTTGTTTCATTGCTCTTTGGAGAGTATAACTGACCTGATCGTCCCGTACAAACATGATTCGTCCTGTACGATCAGTATTATAAAATTGTGAATTTTAATAACTCTCCCCCGGTGTGTGTGTGCTAAGTTTCTCAATTACAATCGAATTCTCTCTCAGACTCAAGTAAAAGAAAATATACATACTCCAAGTTACAAAATATATAAGTAAATCTTGACTTGAAATCTTCAACAATCTGAAGTATGATTTCCCTGAAATGTTAGTACACACAAGAGCCAAAAATAATTCTTCCAAAATATGTTAGAAGAAAATAATAATCAAAACAATAATATTTAAAATCATCAAAACATACAAATTGCAAGAATGTAAAACATGCAAAGCTAAGTAACAACTCTCTCAACAATTCTCCCCCTTTTTGATGATGGCAAAATAATTATTGTTTGTATAGATTTAAAAGTTCTAAATTTCTCCTAAACTCCCCCTGAATGAATAACCATGTAAGAATAAGAGGTATTATTGTTAAACTAATCCAATTTTTAATTTTAAATTTTTAAAGTTTTTTACACACAAAATCAATCATAAAATACGAACAAAAACACAAAAATAACGAACAATACACAAAAATACGAACAACACAATCAAATGACAAATAATAGTTTTCCCCTTTTTGACAACAGCAAAAAGAGAAGAAGAATTAAATAAATAAAAAAATGTAAGAAGTCATAAGAAAAGCCTTTAATTATCCTAAAAGAGATTAAGGTATATTTGTAATAAAAATAGAATGTCATTAGAGAAAAAGAAAGATTCATATGATTTAAGTATAGAGATAACATAGACTAGAAAAAAAATCTCAAGAGTGTGAATCAATTTAGACAATGAGATAAGCAAAATTATTGCAATGTATATGAATGAAAAATTTGTATATTTCAAATTTCAATAGAAAATAAAATTGAACAAAAGATTAATTTGAATTTAAAGATTAAAGATTGAAGAAAGAATATATATTTGTGCGCTTTGCGCATCTTTTCAATATTTGTGGCACACTTTATGCATCTTTTTATTTGTCGGCTAAATTTGTGCTTCTTTTTTTTTTTAATTTGCGAACCATTACGCATTCTTTTAATTTTTGTACATTTTCATGTATTTACTTGATCTTTACAAAATCGATAATCTAAAATCTCAAATTTCTCTAAGTACAATGATTTTTATATTGAAAAGAGAAGTAAAAAAAATATCTAAATTGTAATAATTATATTAATCTCACAAGAGACATGAGATTGATATCCTTAACTAGATCAATATTTTAAGGATAATCATATATGCTAACGAATATTTCTGAATGAGATCAAAAATAGTAAAAACAAGACAGGATAATTTTTATTGATATCTTTGGTAAAAGATAATTCATTGAACATAAATGATATCAAAACACAGACATTCATAACACATAAAATATCAAAAACTAACAATCACCAAATATCACATCACATAAAACATAACAGCTAACAATCACATCACATAAGACATAAAAACATAACAACTAACAATCACATCACATCACATCTGGCAGGAGAAACATAAAAGAAGTACAGTCATCACTCAGAGGGATCCTAATCTGAAGGAGGTGGTTAGTTGAATATATTAAAATAACTATTCATCATAGTTATATTCATGTTGACTGATTCAATTTGACCTCTAACCCATCCCATATCTTGTTGATATTGATAGTCCTGCTGTTGAAGATGAGTTTCAATCTAATCAAAACGTTGATCAAAGTGGCTCTCAAGACGATCAAATCGCTGGACCATATCCTAAAAATTCTGTCTACCAGCAGGTGCAGGAGGTCTTCTTCTTTCCTCTTCAGAGTCACTACTTTCTAAATGATCATCTTTATTAAAGATGGCTTGAAATGATCTATCACTGTAGTTGACAGGCTCCTCTAGATTTTGAATAGGATGAACTAGTTCATACTTCTTTTCCAAAATGTAGGTCACAAGATATCCTAAGGCAATATTTTTCTTTCTCTTGTGGGAAACATGATCAATCTCAGTTGGGCTTCATCTATTGGTTGGCTAGTCATAATCAGATAAGTCACTGTGGAAAGAAGAGGTGTAATATTTACTCGATCACCAGCTTTAGGAATAATAGAAGTACGAAGAATATGCTGAATGATTTGGGCATTGCTGTTAAGAGTGGCTACCTTAGGCATATGACCTACTCCTCTAATCCCTCTAATGACTTGATTTATCCAAGTCCAGTCATAGTTGGTGGAAGAGGTCAAAGTATGGGCTCTAATCTCTTGAGTCCTTAAATTTAGAAATATCCCCAAATCCTCAGTTATTTCTACCCTCTTCTTAAAAACAAAGGATCTAATCACACTTTAGTCAGAATTAAAAGACATGTTTGCAAGGAAATAGTGGAATGTTTCCTTATTGTAGAAGTGGATTAGAGTCAGAATAAAATCAAACTGAGTAGAAGCAAAAAGGTCCATCACTTTAAAAGTGAGTTGTTCCTGAAGAAGGACTCTTGAGGGAGTGATTTTTGTGGATACAAACCTAGGAAAAGACTCTTCATTTTCTTCGGACAGAAAGTTTTCTCCTGAATTTCTAGAGGAAGGTCCCCTAGTCAGTTCCTTAGCGTGCCTAACCCTCTTGCTTGAACTCGCCATAGAAAAGATGAAAGGGATTTGAAGATTGAAAAGGCTTTTGAAGTG